GTGCGTGAATGAGAGAAAGCTGAGAAAAAACAGATTCATCCCGGGTCACTGCCAGGAGTCCGAGGATCCACCGGCTGCGGTCAAGTGGAGCTTCGAAGATTACGGCCCCGAGACCCACGCGCTGGTCACCCAGCTCCTCGTCTAAGGTGGCACTTTGAGCTACTACCGGCGGACAGGAAATTTCTAGTCGGAGGGATTTCCACCTGCCTAGAATCCAACCTGCTATGGTGAAAAGGGTTTCAAGCCTCGCTATATCGGGTACAGATCCGTCATGCGGTGCCATGCATCATCCACGTCCAGAATCTAAGGTTCAATGGCAGGGAGACGGCGACCGGATCCTGCTTGGCGTTCGCACCCAGAAACAAGACCGGCAGCAACAACCAGGCGACCCAGGCGGATTGGCAAGCAGGGACCAAGGACGACTTTATAAAGCTGGAGCCCTGGGCAGTGCCTTGCGGCAACCAGTGGATGAAGGACCATTGGGACAAGTGGCAGGGGTATTCCTTTTACTCGGTGGATTTCTCGATTGAGAAATGCCTGACAGTGACTTTCCAGTTGAACATGCAGCCTGTGGTCGCCTTCGTGGGTGGCATCCAATTCGACTTGCTGCCCGGGCCGTTGGCCGAAATCGACACACAAGTCTCGTGTTTGACATTGTTTGTACAGCGTGTAAGTGTTTTTTCTTATTTGCCTGTGGGCTGGTGCTCGGGACGATTAAGGAATTTTAATGTAAGCGCTTCGCGTCGTCTCCCTCGGCCCGGAGTCTCTCCATTAGACTTGAAAGCCAACGAATGCCGTTTGCCGGGAAGGGGATGAAGAGGAGGGGGAAGAAATTCCCAGAAAGGAAAAACAGAACCTTTGTCCAATTCGGCTGGGACCGAGGCGAATATAGGGTTCAGTCATGTGCACTGCAGCCCCTCCTCGAAGTCGAAAGGCTCGGTGGCACGCCGCCGCCACAGTCGGAAACAGAACCCGGCAAAAATGAAAGGCAACTAAGAGTTGCTTGCCTAT